GCGTATACTGTAACTATTTCAGTGATGTGAAAAGTTCTGTTTTGATGGGAGAGTTTGAGAAGAAAACGTCAAGGGGTGTGCTTTTGATGCGTAAACTGAGTCATTTGATTCTCTCTCAAGGAAAGGATGCTGTTGTTCAGGAAGTTCGTCAGCGCAGATAAGGTATTTTGATTAAGCAAATCTTACAAGGTTTCTGCGTTTTTTCGTCCTTTTCTTGACTTTTTTCAAAAATACTCGATTGCTGTCGGATTCCTTTTGATAGAACTTGTTCTCCCGCTGAAACGCATCACCGGCTCCTGGCCTTTTCAATTCGTACTTTTCAGTCGAGTATAGAATCGTCTGCTACTCTTATCACAGTGGCTCGAAATCGCCTTGTCGAAGATGGTTATCGGCAACTGTCTATGTTATCTACGAGAGCTCTCAAATCCACTATCCGAGTGAAATTTATCAACCAACAGGTACTAATTTACTTTGCAGTTATTTCATATGTTATATTTGTTGCTGTAATAACACCTTTAGGGTCTTGATGAAGCCGGTATTGATCAAGATGGAGTATTCAAGGAGTTTCTCGAACTAACTATCAAACAAGTGTTTGATCCTGCCTTGAATCTATTCCGTGTGAGTTCTTATATGCCTATGTACTGGTTTTAAGAACATTCAAGTACTTATAGCCAAAATCATTGTGTTCAGAGTACCGCCGCCGGAGTGCTCTACCCGTCTGCCACTTCAAGTGTCCATGAAGATCATTTGGCACTGTTCCAGTTTGTGGGTAGAATCTTGGCCAAGGCAGTGTATGAGGGCATTGTTGTTGATGTCCAGTTAGCGCCTGTTCTACTTGCTGCGGTGCGTTACAACATTGTCTTTCTCTTGTTTTCTTCTGCATAACTACAATACAGTAACACTCAGAAATAGCCAAATAACCTTGAAAGAGGCATTGGAAGGATTCCTTGTGCAAAACTAAGATTACCGCATCAGTCACCAGGACTTTTACCTCGGTCTAGCTCCTGATAGATAAACAACTTTATAAACAAAATTCCGAGTACAGTAATCAGATCCTTATCTGAGGCTCACAGTTCCGTCCAACAAGTTCTTTGAATAAACTCCAGTTTATTAGCGCCCTCAGGAGCTGCAGAAATTCATATTTTTTCAGATGCTAGGTGGACGTCGTCTTTGTGCCTTCGATGAACTATCTCAGCTTGATCCCGAACTTTACCGCAATCTAACCTTTGTGAAGAAATACGACGGTGACGTTAGCGATCTGTCCCTAACATTTAGCATCGATGAGGATTTCATGGGCAAGGTAAGTATTCGTTCAGTTAATTCACCAGAACACTGTAATTTACGGATCGTTTAGATAAATACTGTGGATCTGGTTCCTGGTGGCAGAACGATTCAGGTTACTAATGAGAACAAGTAAGATTTTGCCATGACTATTATTAGCGATAGTAGCTGGAACTTGCACTTGGATTTTTTTTTTACTTGTAGTTGGATTTTTCATTAAATATGTGATCCCAAGAATTAAAAAGGTGGATATCACTGTTCTACCTTGTTGTATTTCATAGCTCGGAAACTGCGTTTGCTTGTTGTGAAGCCATACTGTCATTTCCAAAAATGTTTTTCCTTTTTCTCCTCATCGAATAACGTAATAGGTTAGCATTTTAGAATCGATTATGTGCATCGAATGGCACATCATCGGGTGTTCTCGCAAACAAAACAGCAATGTCGGGCGTTTGTTTCTGGTGCACAATCCGTTTTGAATCCCGCGTGGCTCTTCCTTTTTGCTCCATATGAGTTGCAGTTTATTATAAGTGGATACTCTAGGTTGGTTTCCATGTTTCCATTCTTCCATTCTGCGATAGGAATCGAGTAAAGTAGCTCGTCTTCCCAACTAAAATTTATGGTGCAGAGCGCTCCTCAGTCGCGGCGAGTGCGGCCTAATAGGCGTTGCGAGCAGGTCCGTCTCAGGGCACTTGTCAACCGAGAAGCCTCTCCTCTCTTTCCTTTTTCTTCCTCCCTCTTTTCCTTCCTTCCTTCTCTGATCCCTCCTCCTTTACCTTCTCCCTTCAACTACTGGACTGGTAGATGCCTCGTGAAAATACCCTGGACCCTCGCAGCGAGAGCACGTCTGGTTGACAACAGCCCCGTAACCGAGCATGTCACGAGCGCTACATTCGCTAGGACCCAATCTGCTCAGCGTGACAGTGCGTCGACTCCTTTGACTTTCTTTGCGTCTCGCACGTCAACTAGTTCTATGTCTACGGCCGTCTCAGGATAATTGTCAACCGCGGAGCCTCCCTACTCCTTTTTTTCTTCCTCCTTCTTTTCCTTCCTTCCTTCTCTTCCCTCCTCCTTTCCTTCTCCCTTCAACTGCTGGACCAGTAGATGGGATGAAAAAATACCTCTGGCCCCTCGTAGCGAGAACATGTCCGGTTGACAAGAGTCCTGTAACCGTCTGTGGCCATCTAGTCAACTAACTAGGAAATAGTTAGTTGACTAGATGGCCACAGACGCTAGTGCGCTAGTGCGTGCGATGCAGCGACTGAGAAGTAATGCTCGACACCCATAATTT